GTGTTCATTTCGTCAACGCAAGCATTCTTTATCTTTCTTTACCGCAAGCCTTTACAAATCATTCTAATATGAAGATTTGGTGCTCAAACTTGTCCTTTCCATTGCTTAACATGTTTGTGGAAGCCATGACAATTTTTTTCAGGATTCTTTGATGAATGGAAAGTAACAAAATAACCCTGAGAAATATTAATAATGGACTGACAGTATTTTTAGAAAGAAGAAAAATGTAATCAAATATTTCAATCATAATATGCTGGGGTCTGACCCGCTTGAGCTGAAAGACTCTTTTAGTTTGCCTTAAATGGCTTAAAATCAGTTGACAAATTTTGTTATAACTATATATATATAAAAGCTTATTTTACTATTTGTTAAAGGGATTCTCCACTTTTTTTGGAAATAGGCTCATTTTACAACTCCCCCAGAGTTAAACAGTTGAGTTTTACCGTTTTTGAATCCATTCAGTTGATTTTCTGATATTTAGAAGAATATCAGTAACCAGACAGTTTCTGGTCTCATTGACTTCCATAGTATATTTTTTTTAAAAGCTTTTTTAAAAGCTTATTTTACTATTTGTTAAAGGGATTCTCCACTTTTTTTGGAAATAGGCTCATTTTACAACTCCCCCAGAGTTAAACAGTTGAGTTTTACCATTTTCGAATCCATTCAGTTGATTTTCTGATATTTAGAAGAATATCAGTAACCAGACAGTTTCTGGTCTCATTGACTTCCATAGTATATTTTTTTTTTTCAACTATGGAAGTCAATGAGACCAGAAGCTGTCTGGTTACTGATATTCTTCTAAATATCAGAAAATAGGCGGAATGCATTTGAAAACGGTGAAACTCAACTGTTTAACTCTGGGGGAGTTGTACAATGAGCCTATTTCCCAAAAAAGTGGAGTATCCCTTTAAATTTTAGTGTAAAAATTGTGCACTCCTTTGTCCTCGTAATAAGAGTGTACTGCTGTGGCAAGCAGGTCGAGGGCCGTGAGAAAGCGGTCCTCGACCTCGTCCTCGCCACAATTGCACTCAACTATTTAAAACATCTCTTTTTTTAAAAAAAAACATCTGTTCTGAGAAATATGTGCAGAGCACAAAAAATCTCCCCATTTTCAGTCTGGGCCTGACGATCAGTCTGTCATTCGTCCCATATCTCTGAGTTTTGGAGCTACAGCTGCAATGTTGCCCTTGTGCTGCAGGAAGTGTGGACTCTGAGAGAGAGAGCGAGCGTGTGGATTAACAGCTGATTAAAGTGGAATTGGAATAAAGTAATCAGTGGTGTAAGTGCCTGTGCTGATTACGAGCTGAAGACTCCTCAGGCCACCCCGGTTTAGATCCCTGATAAGCACAATGATGAACTATAATTAAAGACAAGCATATTATATGATAACCGAGTCCTGCTCTGTCCCCCTATGGCACAGGTCTCCGTCTCTTCATTCTGTGCATCCGCTGGCAAATGTTGCCACGCTTCCATTAACCACTGGCTGCGGTTTTTGCTGCTTTAATTACTGGAAACTGAATGAGTTTGACTGCTTATCATGTTCTGTAACATGGGTTTAATTTATTACGTCCACCTTTAGTGTTTGGCGACTAAAGCCCATTACAATGCTTGGTCGGTCAGATTAGGCGTTTGGCACTAATTGTTGTAAAATATTAAATAGTTGGCAATCTTTTTATTTGCTAGTGCCAAATGGGAACTGGCCTAACAAGCCTTCAAAGCACTTTTCGCCTGTCTTTCTGTTTCACTAATAATTAATACCTCCGCTTTTTTGGCTTTCTGTGGAGTGAGGCCTTTGTCCTGGACTGTGAGTGTGTAAAGGAACTGCGCTACAGGAAGTGGCATGTGCCCACTCATAAGCTCAAGCACACACTGTACTTTCAGCAGAGAGCTTCCAGTATCATTATTTCTGAGCAGAACTCTTTATTAAGAAAAAACTCCTCCAGATGCCAAACCCCCCTTTTCTCCCCACATTTTTTATTTTATTTTATCTTCTATTCATTTGTAATCTAAAGTTTGTCACTTAAGATTTTTCTTTTTATTTCACTGAAACAAAAACGCTACTTAAGTATTTTGTGTTTGTTTATTGCATGTTGTGCTTTGTTGTTTTGTCTAGTCCATTTTGTACCTTTTAAACCATAGTTTCTATTAATAGTTATTGATAATAGCCAAGTCTGTTAGTAGTCTATATTTATAACTACTGTAAACTATAATAATGGTTTCCTTTTTTAAGTGTAGTAACTGTTGTAAATGGTATTGTGGCCAGAAACTATGGTTATGGTAAATATTGTTTTTTTTTTTTCAACCCACATATCTTTGAATATTGTAAGTGATGTCTTATGAAACACTTGTCTGCCTCCTTACAAACATAATTTCTTGGCCTTTAAACACCTAGAAAAATAACATAACGGTCTATTAATCAATACGAATACTCGCATCTCCCTCTCGATTATTCATATCTGGAATGCATGGAGTTGTGAGCGCCCAGCCGAGTGCGTTCAGCTTTTGCATCAGTCCAGAATGAAGTGTAGAATGAGTGGCCCATACCGCCTGAACGCACATGAGCATCTCCTTCTGATCCTGTTTGCATGGTGCGGGCGCATCGAGTGTGAGGGAATGTGACCCAAATGGAATTATTCTTCCATCAAAGGGAAGTATTCATGAATTAGAAATGACCTTGATTGGAGAGACCCCAGAGACACAACGCCACAGTTCAAGCAATTTCACACCCGTTCACTCAACGGCTTTTGAGAGACTTGATGGAGGCAGTGAGGAAGGAGTGAGAGAGGATGAAATGTATTGAAAGAGGTGTGGAGGAGTAAAAGAAAGCAAAGAGTATTAGATATGTATAAATGAAAACATAGAGAAAAAGCAAAAAATTATAGACTAGACTACTCTTCAAATTGGTCATCAGTGTTATTTTAATATTATTTATATACTATTTTAGCTATATTAATAATTTAAAAACTAGCTTTTATTTTTATATATTTTTTATTTTAATTCTAGTTCCTTTTTAGCTATTGTTTTGTGCATAACGACTAATTAGGTTCAATTTATTTATATATGTTTCCAGTTAGTAGTTTTAGGGCTTCAAGCTAAATTATTCATATTATTAGCTTTAGTTAGCTGCAGTCTGTAGCTTTGTTTGGGTTAAAATTATCCCCCAAAAAATGGAGAAAATACATAACCAGCCAGTGTTCAAAACTATCTGCTTGCCTTAGCTCGATTCAAAGCGGTAAGCTTGTAAAATAAATAAATAAATAATTCCAGTGGTACTGGTGGATTTCCGCGGGGGATTCGAGCATGTCTTTGTGTCATTTACGACAATTCCGCAAATAACTGCAGTTGCAGATTTCAAACAGAGATGGCGACAAAGTTTTCACTCTTTTAATATTTTGTGGGTTAAATTCAGACACTCATTTTGGTCGGCTCACCTCATTAATATAGTTTCATTTAAATTAGGTGTGACCCTTACTGTGTGGCCTTGCTGAGTATTCCTGTTTTATAAGGTGTGATTGTGCCTTTAGTATTTCAGTTTATTTGTCTTGTGAATGTGTGTATTGTTTGTTTGTCTCAGGCTGTCGTTTTTCCATCATCTAAAGTACAAATACTTTTTGAAGGATTTCATCTTCAGTGTGCGTGTGTCAAAGTCAACAAATAGTAGAGCACCTAAGCCCCCCAATTCATACATAATTCAACCAAAGCCAACCATTTTAAGATTACGGATTTCAATCATAGGGGCGAATAAAAGTTGTGCATCTTTTTATTTGCGAAGGGCCGCTGTAGCTCACCTTCCTGCCAATGTGTGTGTCTGCTCCTGTGGACTACAATAAATAAGGTCACAAGTCAAAGACTTGGCTTTGTACACAAAAGCTGGCATGCAAGGCTGGAGAGGCTTTTCATCACTAAAAGATTAAATCAATTCAATTTAATTCAATTTCCAACCTTTTCTCAAGAGCTTAGGACCCAGTGATGTATAAAACATCCTCTTGATAGTTTTATTTTATTTTTATTCTGGAGCTTCTACAATTACAAACGATCAATGTAAATTCTCATCAGAAACTGCATTTGACTGCTTTGGAATCAGTAAAACCTTCTTGTTTTTTCTAGTAGGCAACTACCTTTTACCTCACACTTGAATGGATCCGAGTCTCAAGCTAACTGTAGAGAAGCAACAAATTTTCCTTTTCCCAGTTAATCCTCTACCCACGATGCACCTGGCTTGACACTTCACCACAAACCCGAGCCTGCAGATGCTCATTAGAGTGCTTGTGTCAGTTCTGTCCCGTTTTTCAATCGCTCAAATCCAATCTTTTGCCAAGAACAATTGCGCAATGATGACGTTAAATGACACATCTAGGCAAATTCGCATTTATCATTCTCTTTGTCATTGTGCTAATAAGGCAGATGTCAGACACTGGTGGTTTTATTCAGATTTGACAGTGCAGTCTGGTTCGGTTTGTGTTTTACCCTCTTGTTACCTTTGTCTCCCTGGTCGTTTGCTTCACCCTGAAGCGCAACAGTGCTGTCCTCTTAAGTTTACTTGTGTGTTTTTGTATATACTGTATGTGAGTGTGTTTTTGTGTAGAATGATGTTTTAAAAGGCCTCTGACTGGCTTTGATCCAGGCTTTAACCCAGCGGCCATCGATCGGCCGTTCAGGCCGGATTACGCTTGGCTTCTCTGCCCGTGATGCTTCTTTCTGCCCATCACCAATCACAGGCCTCAAGAGTGCCTTTGAACTGCATCTCAAAAGTGGTACGGCCAGTTAGCCCCTGTGAGGTGCAGCCGGGCACGAACAAATAGACCAAGCAAGCTATTTCGGCACAGCATTGCATTATCTATTCACACAATTTGCAGCGCAGGATGTTCAGAGCCGTCAAGTGCCGACTAGCAAAGATAAAACGCGGAAGCTGTGTGCTGCTGTATACATAGCATCTAAAGGCAGTTTTTGGTGAAGAACAACATTCGAATCAGAACAACAACTGGTGGCCTGTTACACTGATGTCTGCGTTCGGAATTGTAATCCAAAAAAGCTTCTCAATAACACTTTCTCTCTTATCTCTTTTTTTTCCATCCCAGAAAAGAGAGGACAACCAGACAGATTCCAGACTCAGTCCTAAGAAGAGTGCAGAGCCCGCCATCGACCTGTTAGGCCTTGGTAAGACATGAATAATTGATTAATCATCTCATTGCCCATCAGAGAATCGGATACATCTAAGATAGGCTGGAAAAAAAGAGACTTCAAGGTCATTTTAAGGCAAAATGTTATAATGGAAGGAAAGTGGTGGAATAGAAGTGGTCATTTTCGCACCTAACGTGGATTTTACACACACTCAGTCTTAAAGAGTTCTTTAAGCATTTCAAATTATTGTTCTTAGTTAACACAAAATAGTATCTTGTAACATTTAAAATGCCCTTTTGGCCGGTTTTTCCTTGTTCAGTGAGAACTGGAAGAACGGTTCCAAGACAATGTGTTGCTGTACACCAAAGCGACTCTTTTTTTTTTTTTTTAAAGGGTGTGTTAAGGCTCAGAGAGAGGAACACACTGACTGCTATTACTGTCTAGATGAAGGTTCGGGGAAGCACACTGCTAGTTTAGTCCTGGCGGTATTGATCAGGCCGACAACTCGAGCCCTTGAGATGACCAAACACAATTGATGTTATATTACTTTCTGGGAAATGAAAGTTTCTATTTGCTTCCCTGAAGCTTTCCTTTGTCGCGCGGTCTTGTGTATTTATCACTTTCTCTCCCTCTCATTCAATATCTCTCACTCTCTCAATCTCTGTTTGCTTCCAAGTTGTCCGTTATGATGAGCGAGAGAAGACAGAGTCGGTGAGAATATATAAATTTCCGCAAATGTGTGTGTGTCTGAGGCAAGGAGGTTACAGAGTTTAGATGAACGTCTTCAGCCGGGGGGCAGTAAGGGTCAGTGCTGATGAAGAGAGGCTGGAGATGATGGTGTTGAGATTGAGACATGCGTCTTATTGATGTGTTTTTGCTCAAGGCCTCAGCATCTGTCCTCACTCTTCCATACCATCTCCCATACCGGCAACAGGCTCCAGCCCTGTTCAGAGTAGCAAGATATCTATCCATCTCTCTTTACTTCAGTGTTGTTACTTTAGGGCTGTTGATAAATAACTTGTCAAATTACTTGCATTATATGAATATTTGCTTTTAATCTTGGCTTAATTGATTTTTTGGGCATCTGTTTACAGTTGGTAGTAATGCCTGGATTTTATTAAGGGAATTATTCATGACTGCATAGTACTTTTCATGGAATATTTTTCTTATCACGAAAGTATGATGCATTTTGAATGGAACGCTCTTTTGTAATTTTTAGTGAGCATCTGTATTGTTTTTCAACAACATTGTGGATTGTTTCTTAGGTATTGATTGCTCCAATCATTTAGCTTGCTCAAACCCTGCCCCTTTCTTTCCATTGACTTCCAGCTCAACAGCTGATGGATAGAATTCCCATCTTGCTTTTTTCTTTTTCGATAATCCATTTCACTGAAATGTTTGTCACAGTATGGAAGAAAAGATCTCACTACCTCTGCTTCATCACAAATTTTAAGCCATGCCTAGTTCACAGTTAAAATAGAACTTTTTTTTTGTCGCAGTGATTGCATTTGCAATTGTTCACATGCATTTTTTTCCCCAAATGTGGAACACAAAATGTTTTTTTGTGGTAAAAAAAAAAAAAAAAAAAACCTTTGTGGTAATACCAAGTATAAATGGGACCTTCAGTGAATTTTATTTCAGCTTAATAATAATAATATAAGGCTGGGTATTGGCAAGGGCCTCACGATAAGATACATATCACGATTCATCATGTGACGGTGAAGAATGAAGTAATGGCTGATGAATATTTAGCATTGCTCCACAGAAATAAATACAATTTTGATGTATTTTCAAATTGGCATTATTTTAAATTCTTATATTACAGTTTGTTCTGTATTTTTGATCAAATAAATGCAGGCTTCATGAGCTTAAGAGACTTCTTTAAGAAACATTAAAAATAGTATGTTTCCAAACTTTTGTATGTGTGTTATGTATGTAATATGTTATGTTTATGTATCCATGTATGCATGCAATTTATCTTATTTTAATTAATTCATCCATGCAACGTTGCCGTTTAAAACGTATCATGTAATTTTTGTTCAAAATGCCATAACTTTAGCTGAAATTACAGACTTTTCTCGTTTAATGTCAGACTATCGTTTCATCTGCATAGATCCTGCCAATTTCTTATCATTTGCAAGTTCACATTCAGATCTGCCAATCATCCAATCAACAACCAATGGATAGAAGAACCATATCTCCGCTCTACTTTTACATTTCTGATAATTTGTTACACTCAGATGTATGCTAGAAAAAAAAAAGATTTAACTACTTTCATTACATAGCAATGTTGACAGACATTACAAAACTGTTCGTCGAAAAAGGCATGTTCTTCCTTTCCATATTGACATCTGCCCTAGATTGCCTACATTCTACCAAGTTAAAGAGTTTGTGCCAAAATACTGTAGTTTGATTGGACGCACGGCCCGTTCATTCTTTATATCTCTGCATGCTTAGTTGTTTTTTCTTATTATTTGCATCTAGCATTATATTTCCCTGCTGTTCGTGACGAGAATAGTCCTGTGACCCACAACCAGATGAAAGCCACTGATTTAGGGCCAATCCCAATTCTACCCCTTACCCCTTCACTTTCCCCTAGCCCTACCCCTTCACCTTCCCCTTGACCCTTGAAACAGAATGGCAATGCGTAGGGGTGAAAATATTCCCCTAAGAAATGGAACACCACTACGCCTCCGTTAAACGTCATTATAAGTCGTCGCTAGCGCCTACGTCACAGGAGATGCGCCGATGTTTATCTCAACTTCCAGTTGTGATAAACGCGACTGAGATAAGACAGTCATCTCAGTCGCGTGGGTTACAGCTATTTTCTTGCATTTATCTTGTGAAGTTCGCAGGAAACAACGGAGACGACGAAAATATGTTGCGGGACTATCGTTAGCAAACTACAGTAATTTTAGCGGTTTTTTTTTTTTTTTTTTACAAACGTTTCTGTGAAGAAACTGACCGTAAATATGAACACAATATTGAATGTAACATAAAGCAAATCATTATTTGTCGTTACAATACTTATTAAAGCCACAAATACTTACATTTATGGGTCTCCTTTTTCGCTTGGGCAGCCATTTTGCGTCTGTAGCCTGGGTTAGCAGTGACACTTCTCATACCCCTTCGTTTGAAGTGTGCTCCCGAAAAATCTTCGTTTGAAGGTCTATCTGGCCTTTCCCCCTAGCCCTCCCCCTCCAACCAAAAGAGAATTGGGACAGCCCTACCCCTTCACGTGGACGCGCAAAACGGAGGGGAAGGGGTAAGGGGTAGAATTGGGATTGGCCCTTAGACTCCACACATATAGGTCTATGAATTAGAGACCAGCGCTTTCCAGATGCGCTTTCCAACTGTGCTCTTTTGCACATTTCTATACATAGGTTCTTTAATTTTTTTCTTTCCTTTCTCCTTCCAGTCTCACCCCCAGCTCATCAAGCATTGCATCTAAACTTTTCCCCACTCCCATATTCCCTCCAGTTATATTACTTTGAGCTCTTTTATCTTCATGGATTTTATCAGTCATAAAAAGATGGCAGCGGCTCCTGACTCTGCGCACTGTAACATGTGAACACAGGCAGTGCTCTGATGGAGTCTTTGACTTTAATGGAATGAGAGAGTGCGTGTGAGCGGCAGGCTGACGTTGGAGGCGAGCGGGTGCTTTTCTCCAGCGTTGGCGGAGTGTGATTAGATTTCCTGCTCTCTTGGATGAAGTCGATAGGTAACGGGAACAGGAAAAGCAAGCTGAGCAGGAGGTGTGGGGTGCTACCAGATGAACGCTTTTATTTCTCTCTACAGAGACAAAGACTCATGCTAGCAGATTTAGCCTGGCATTGGTCATTACTGCACAGTCAATGTGTTACACATGCGTCTGACAGCTGCTGCGTCTCCGACGTCTGACTCCAGCGGCTCGGAGAAGATAAATACAGTGTCCCCAAAAAGTTTTTTGGACACTTAAATTCACAAACAATGAAACTTAATTTCTTAGAGGTTTTAATTTCTTAGAGGCAGAAATCTAAAAATCTAAATTTTCTCATTTTGGTGTCATTATCCATTAATTTGGATATCTCTCTTTATCTCTTTATAAATCATAAAATACTAACAATAGCCAGAAAAAAAAAATCACCATGTTTATAAGAATAAAATGTATGAATCAGATGAATAATATATGAACAAACCCCACTGTAAAAACGTTACAGTAAAACAACAAATATAGATAGGAATGAAACTGGAACATTGTTCTTGTAAGTGCTACTGTAAGATTACTAATGAAAAAGAAAAAAAAACTAATTTTGAGGAAACAGCCGCTTCAGAAGTGAATAGATAAAGCATAATAGTCTGAAAGAAGGACATGTTATAGAAGCAAAATAACCCTTAATCTAAAAATTGACCAGTGGATGAATAAAAATAATGTTTTTTTGCCTTAAAACCTACCAAAAGTTGAAGAAATGTTCACTTAAAAAAAAAAAAAAAAACTTTTGCTGATAATTTACTCACCCCCATGTCATCCAAAATATCCATGTCATTCTTTCTTCAGTCGAAAAAAAATTAAGATTTTTGATGAAAACATTCCAGGATTTTTCTCAATATAATGGACTTTAATGGGAACCAAACGGTTCAAGGTCCAAAAGACAGTTTCAGTGCAAACTGTTCAAAGGGTTTCAAACGATTCCAGACGATGAATATGGATCTTATCAAGTGAAACGATCGCTCATTTAAACCAAAAAACAGCAAAGTTTACGTTATATAAGCTCAAATGGTGGCCTTGCTCTGTTCTGTGATGCACATTTGTGACTCTCCTGTTCGAACTCGTTCATCAAAATGAACAAATCTTTCCCCAAGTCAGCACATTCATTTCGTTCGTTGAATGACCAAATGACACGGAAAAAGATTCGCTCATTAGGATAAACGAGTTCGAAAAGGAGAGTCACGAACGCGCATCACAGAACAGAGCAAGGCGAGCATTTGAGCTTATAAAACGTAAACTTTGTTATTTATTTATTTTTTTTAAATGAGCGATCGTTTCACATGATAAGACCCTTATTCATCATCTGAAATTGTTTAAAGCCCTTTGAACAGTTTGCAATTTGCACTGAAACTGTCTTTTGGACCTTGAACTGTTTGGTTCCCATTGAAGTCCCATTATATGAAGAAAAATCCTGGAATGTTTTCATCAAAAACCTTAATTTCTGTTCAACTGAAGAAAGAAAAACATGGATATTTTGGATGACATGGGGGTGAGTAAATTTTCATTATCATTATTAGTAAATTACTCCTTTTAATTTTCCTTAGTGTGCTTTTTCAGTGGTCTTTGGCAGGTTTTTAGTTTAGTTTGGAAGTTTTTTTTGTTTTTTTTTTATGCAGTCACATATGTACTTATTTATGTGGCTTTGTTGCCACTGTATTTCTCCAACTTTGGTGTGAAACCAATTAAAAATCTACAGTGACTGTTACTCTGTGTAATGCAGTATACACTTTTCCCTGGTATGTAATGACATTTTGCTTCTCTCTCATTCAGATGCACCCACAGCTAGCTCTGTCAGCAGCGGGGTAGGAACAGGCAGTGCAGTTCCAATCAGTGATGACTTGGACATCTTTGGACCAATGGTATCCAATCCTTTGCCCTCAAACACCAACACAAACCAGGTACATGAGTCCACTAATGCAAACATCAATTGCCAATTACTCGTGTGTGTGTGTGTGTGTGTGTGTGTGTGTGTGTGTGAGTGTGAGTGCGTAAAGATACCTGCTCTTTCCTGTTTTCATGTCAGTCATACTGTTTTCTCAGTGCTGGTGCCTGGTTAGTTGACAAGCATTGCCTGCAGTGTAATTTTTTAAATTATAATATACCAACCATATTAGAGAAATTACACTACCATTCAAAAATGGATGCGTTAACTTGATCAAAAGTGACACATTTATGTTTAAAATATACAGTAGTTATTCGTTTGAACTTTCTATTAATCACAGAATCCTGTAAAAAAAAAAAATAGCAGTGCAACTGTTTTCAACATTGATAATGATAAGAAATGTTTTTTAAACGTCAAATCAGCATATTAAAGTGATTTCTGAAGGATCGTGTGACTGGAATAATGACTGATGAAAATTCAGCTTTGTCATCACAGGAATAAATTACATTTTAAATTAAAATAATTTTTAAATTGTTATAATATTTTACAATATGTCTGTTTTTACTCTATTTTTCTATCAAATGATTGCAGCCTTGGTCAGTATAAGAGACTTATTAAAAAAAAAAAACAGTAAAAAAAGTTTACCACCCTCAAACTTTTGAACGGTAGTGGACATCATTTTTTAGTTCTACATTATGACAAATTATTTTGGCACAATGCGAACTATTTAAATAGCTGCAAATTAACTGCAAATGTTTCTTTACAATTTTTTTAAATCAAAACCAGCATCTAAAATATTAATTTGTGTTATATATTCATATAAATTTGAACTTTAAATCATGATATTAAATATAAACACTAATTGTCAAGTGCTATGTCAACTCTTTCAGTGTATTTGGTAATTTGTCATGGCATAAGGTGGCTAAAGCTGCTGGTCTATGAATGTCTTGGTTAATCAGACCTTTATTGACCAGCACGCCTCATGTAAGGGAAAAGAGGTACAATTTTTTTTTTTTTTTTTTTTTTTTTAAAGAAGCTTTTTTCCTGGGTTACAAACATGCATCTGTTTCTGCCTGCCTTCATTCAGTCTAAATCAACTGACTAAGAGAGACAAAGAAAAGGTCAAACCCGATTGTTTTAATTTTCTCCGCAAACAACATGATTACATTTTTGCCTGTCTAGTTGCGGCTGACAGAATTGATTTGCAAGGTCTTCCTGGCTAAATGATACAGCATGAATAATGAGGGATATTAGCATTTATTACAGCCCTTCACTGAGGAGAGTGAAGAGGAGAGATGTTTAATAATGTCAAGAGATGAGGGTTGGGAAAAATCATGTTGAGAGGAAAGAGAGAGAGAGAAGTTGGTAAGTGCTTGTCAGAGATGGACAACATGTCTGTTCCTTATTGGTTCAAGATTTGCTTTTGTTTTCATCTGATATCGTGTATTTAGTTGTGCATGCCCACTTCCCTTATTTTTACATTTGAATGCCATTTGGCATCATCTTACCTGCTCTCTCATCGCGGCCAGCTTTTATGCGGCCTCCCCACGCCAATTACTGCAATCACAGACAGGTGTTCGTCATTTGCACTTGACCCACTTACTCACCGCTCGGCTCCGTCCTCGCTCTCCCGCTACAGACTTCGCTAAACCACGCCCCCCTAGCCACACAAGTATTTTTTTAGTTTTTGTTTGATGGAGGGCGGTAAGGATCCTGGATAGGGTTAAGGTGGGTGCTGGACCAAAACAACTGAAAACCACTGATTAACACACTTCTAGCCAATAAGGACGCTGGAGGATTCCAGCATGAATAGCAATTTGTCTTTGTGGAAGCTCGCCTTCACCCCTGAGATCCACTCTCACTAACCCCACATTGTCCTTTCTCCCTTAGTCAGGGTTGCGCCATATTTAATTTTGGACAGGAATAAAAAGCGAGGCTTTTAGGGATAAAAGTCCACTGTGTTCAAAGGATTGTAATGTTGTTTAACAACATACCAATTGTTCAGCTGAAAAATACATGTGATCTATAAGCTTTATAGAGCATATGCTAGCCTCATTTTCATCTGTTAAATGCAATATGGTGTCTACCCTGACTAAGGTCTATTCCCTACCTCCTTTCACACTTGTTTTGGCCGTCATTTTCGGAATGGCTTGAAGACGATTCTCTTGTTTTTGATTTCGGAAGCCTGAAGCTGTGCTGAAGTCAGACAGATGGCTTGACAAAAAGCTATTTCCCCCCTGTGTGTGGAGCCACTGGACTGACTTGGGACTCCTTGCCCTCCTGTTGCTCCTCCTCTTCTTTGGCCAAGCAGAAATCAGCTCTTCCTACACAATGTACATTCATACATGCATTCTGCAATCTCATGGGATACTAATAAAGGATAAAACGGAGCTAAAGATAGATCACTTGAATAGTAAGCGAACGCTCAGGCTTTCACAAAGCCTTCGGTCTCAACAGCATGCTGTCAATCTCTGCTCTTATTCTCCAGATGAATCGAGCGGCGGTGGGTGTCTGGTGAGGGAGGATGGCAGCATTATGCCTTGATTCCTGTTTGTTGTGTCTTTTAGAGTCTTTGTGTGGAAGATGTGTCTGAAAGAGGCGCACACTAGCTCTTTAAAGGATTTGGAGGCATTTTGCATATCTGAAGATGTCACTTATAGAAATTGGATTGCTTGTGTATGAATCAAGATTTGTTTTTCCCCAAACAGTAATTTTTGGAAGCAAGAGCGCCTACAGGAAGTGCAAAGAGAAGCCTGACCTCGTCTCCATATCAGTGTTGTTATTGTTGAAGTCGGCATTCAAGATTACATGGGTGCATAGATGTAAAATAATAATAATAATGGTGTGCATGGTTGAATCATTTATGATGAATACTGCATTATTCAATAATAAGTCAAATTGGATTTGTCAAATTTAAACTTTTCATTAATTTAAAACTTTTCATTACTTGAAATGCATGTGAAATGAAAAAGTATAAACATTATATTAGATGAAAAATTCAAAATATTACAACTAACTGAGGTACCAAGTCGAAGTACTAAAATTACTAAAACAATAAATAACTTAAAGCTATTTAGATTTATACAGATGTAAAAAACACTAATACAAATGACAAAAGCAAAATTGCAAAAACTTAAACCAAAATTAAAATGAATAATAAAAAATATAAAGACAAAAATTATTTCAAAATACTGTATTAACAAACACTGTAATAGTAAATAAATAAACACTGCTCTATGACCCCAGCACAAACCACCATTCACATTAATGCATATGATGTTTGTAAATAATAAAAATATTCGAAATAGTTACTCTGTAGCACGGAAACCGGGGCTCATCAATACTGCAAACCTATTGGCTCTTCCTACAATGTTTATTATTATGAGCAATTTGCTTTTGTGCATCACACATCTCCAACACCGACAGGGTATTATGTTTTGACCCTCACGCACCTAAATTTTCTCTCATTCCTTTTGTGGAGTGTGCACAAAATTGAAATCAGTTTAACACCCACAATAACACAGCAATAATGAGACCAATAAGAACGCAATTGGTACACTGCAGACGTCACTGTTTGGAAAAGAGCAACAAAAGTGGAGAGCGTGGGAAATGATTGAGGCGACGAGGGATTTGCCCCAATACCAAGCGACAGCATGTGGAAACAAGCAGCCGACAGGCAGGAGATTTCTGAGATTGGCATTAGGGCCTGTATCAAGGCACTCCCTGTTCCTCTTAAGCCTTAAGGGAAGAGGAAGATGTGAGCTTGAGAGACTGTTGGAGCCTTTGATGAGAAACCACCAAGGCTTCAGTATTCTCCATTCCTTCAGTGTGACTCCAGCCGGTGCATGTTAATCTGTCCTCACACTTCCTCTTTTCACATCTCATCTACTGCCAGCTTTTATATCACCCCCTGAGACATACACACACAGTCTCCTCCGCAGACCCCCCCTCCTGCAGCTTCTGTGTGATTGCATTGCACAACTGCTAGTCAGTTTTGGTATCCCATGATGCTCCGTTAGCAAGAAATCCCTCCCCGTTATTGACATCCTGACCGGCCTGTTTCTCTGCATCTCCCTAATCAAGCTGTCTGCGCACATAAGGGCTGTGAGGATATCAACATCAGCGTTTTGTGAGGATATCAACATTTTGTGAGTGTTGTGGAGGCAAAACATCCCTGCTCGTTTGCATCATGATCATTCGCTGTTTGCATATTAAACACATAATGTTTGTCACTGTTGTTTGGAGTTTGTCAAACTGAAGTGTTTACATGTGACTTTCGATGTGGGGTTATGTCAGTTGTGTACCGTGAGCTAGAACATTTCTAGAAAATGCCAGTATGGTAGTTATATCCAATAACTGATATTAAAATTAGCCGGTTTTAAGATTACAACATTTACATACAGTATAAAAAATCATTTTTGAGATTTGCTTAAGATTAACTTTGAGTGACCAGTTTTAAATTTCTGGGTGTTCATATTTCTGAGGATTTTACCTGGACTATCAACACTTCTAGTCTCATCAAAAAGGCACAACAGCGCCTCTACTTTCTTAGGAAATTAAAGAAAGCCCATCTGTCCCCTCCTATTTTGCAGAACTTTTATCTATGTGTAATTCAAAGCATCCTAACAAACTGCATCACAGTGTGGTATGTTTCAGACCAGAAAGCCCTCCAACGGGTGGTCAAAACAGCCCAAAACATCATTGGTGCTAAATTGCCCTCAATACAAGACATTTACTTTAAGCGATGCCTACGAAGGGCAAGATGCATTATTAAAGACACTTCAGTTCTCACCCCACCCATGGACTATTTGCTATTCTTCCATCAGGGAGACGATATAGGAGCTTTCGCTGCCGTACGAGCAGATTTAAGAACAGTTTCTGCTCATCTGCGGTCAAGATGCTAAACACTACCTCCAATTTCTGAGACATTGCATTGAGCTGGTCCCTGCAACTGTACTTATTTATTCATATTTATTGCAACTATAGCTTTTTTATGTTTTCTTTTAAATTATTACT